ATCCATTGTTCTCTAATTTGTGTGATATCATATTCTGGCAATGGAGATGGATCTTGAAATACCTGAAACATTAATTTGACTCTTGTAAACATGCAACACACATAAAGTTAAATAAACTTAACTAATGTTGAAAGCAATTACATTCGTCCAAGAATCAGTTAAACTCACACAAATTATGGCTCTCATCCAATACATAACATAGTAACCACATTCAAATGAGTCTGTTTGCTTATTACACTGAAATGATGAATAAAATATAATGTTATTTTCAAAATTTAAATACAAACAATAATTATGGTATTCACTTATTATAATAAGTTTCTAACCTTAGGATAAATGAACTGTAAAGTCTTTGTTCTGGGTTTTTTACTTAGAATATTAGTTCTAGACACGATTCTAAATGAAAAAGAATCATATATTATTCAATACCTTTTCCATTTTTACTAGCAAATTTCAAAAATTCATCAACTCCCTTTTCGTACTCTTCACTAATACAACGTGCATTCATCTAACTTCGATTCATATTATGTTATAAAGTTTCGTCACTCCTAGAGATTCAAAATTTATATTTAAAAATAAATTAATATACAAACAACAAAGCACGTAAATGGAGTGTGTAAACCGAAAATGCACTCAAACAAAATAATGACATTCCAATAACAATCCAGTGGAGACATTCATACAATGACGTGATTGAGATCCCCAAAAACAATCACATATTCAATTTGAACATATATCAGGAAACATAGAACACTAAACTCGAGTAAACATGAAAACGATTTCAAACTCGAATCCAATCGGGGAGAAATGTCAAATTCGTAAAATGAGACACAATGTTTATGTTCTTCACTGCCAAAATGATTGTAAATGGTGTGAAAAGGTAGTTGTCGTCGTTGTTCTCGTCGTCGTTCTAAAAAACCCTTATAGCGCGAGATGCGGGAGTGGGTGTGCAAGAGAATAAAAGACACTTTTTACGTTACACACCCTAGCACGTGACGTAAAAAGCCTCTTTTACGTCGCACCTGGTACAACGTGACGTAAAAGATGGTTTTTTACATCGCGTGAGGGTGCGTGACATAAAAAGTATCACTTTTTACGTCGCGCACCCCCATGTGACGTAAAAAATATCACTTTTTACGTCGCACACCCCCCATGTGACGTAGAAAGTATCACTTTTTACGTCGTGCACACCCTACGCGACGTAAAAAGCCATCTATTACGTCACACTGTACCATGTGCGAGGTTTTTTACGTCACCTCCTACAATATGCAACGTAAAAGTTTTACCTCTTATTTACAAAATTGCCACCGCGTTTTATTTACGTCGAATATTTTGACATGCGATGACAATTAGGTGACATAAAATATCATTTTTACACTAGTGATAATCTATAATTTATAGTTTATAGTCTTTGGTCTAAAATACATAGTCTAAAATCTATAATTTATAATTTATAATCAATAATCTATTATCTATATTTTATAGTTTGTTTTCCTATAAGTCTAGTCTATGGGTCTATCAATAATGTATAGTTAATAGTCTATAGTTTCTAAATATATATTATTAATTATGAACTATTAACTACACATTATTATATATAAACCTATCAACTGTACACTTTAAATTATAGACTATTAATTATCAATAGATATATACACTATAGATAATAATTATAAATTATTATTAGAAATAGTCTATAGATTATAGATAGATTTATAAATTATTAATAGTTCTATAAATCATGGATTATTAATAGATTGAAGATGATTGATCTATTAACCAATTTATAGATTAATAAATTATTAATAACACCAATAATCTATTAAAATATTGATAGATCTATAAATTATAAATTATTAGTTTCTGGAATATTATAATATAACTATTGATATAATGATATAATTAGACTATTATTGCTTGAATCATAATTATTTCAAATTTTTGTTTCATTTGTTTAATTTTATTAAGAATTTTTGTTTAATTTTATTAAGAGGAAGGGAATTTGTTGATAACTTGTTTATATCTTTAAATTTAACAAACAATATATTAAATCATATTTGATTAAAATATAAATTTTGTTTTTAAATATATATATTTGATATCTAATTGTTAATGTTCCAACATAAAACCACATGTATTTAAATTATACCAAATGATATGAGGTAGGCGATGTGAGACTTTCAACACACCCCTCTAACGAAGTCTCATTGGACCAGGCAAATGGTACTTTTAACCCAACTAAAGAACAACTTTTTGCCCATGACAATAACCGGAAAGATGTTAGGCTTTGACTCTGATACATGTTAATGTTCCAACATAAAACCAATTGGCAATATGTGGAGTAGCCTAACATGTATTTAAACCATACCAAATGATATCAGGTAGGCGACGTGGGACTTTCAACACTAATATTAGTTATTATTGCATTTTAAAAGTTATAAATTCATCATAAATGTGGATGGGGATGTGAATAAACCTTATATTGGATGATTGTAGATAATTTATATGAAAAGGATGGTGGGTTTATAAGAGAAGTTTTAAGTGAGTGTGAATTCTTGATGTTAATAAAAGTAGTTACCATGTCAACTATATTTTGTTTATTTATCAACCTAACATCACTGCATACTTTACATGTGGTGATGAGCTTTCTTTAACATCCTAGTTCAACATGCATCATATTGCCCAATGCCACATTTGTTAACAAAGATTAAATTAAAATAAACTACCTTTAAAATTTATAATTTTGTGTTTGATTGGAGTGTTTATTTAAAAAATATCCCATCAAATTATAAATAACAAAAATTCATTTATAAAGTAAATCATTTTCTATAGACATGTTCTACCTTTATCTTAAGGTTTTACCTTAAATAAAAAAAAGTAAATAAAATTTTACCAAAAATTATTTTCTAAAAAAATTAAATAAAATTGACCATTCTAATTACTCACCCTATACTTTTTAGAAAAAAAATTATAAATAAAATAAATTAATAAATATTTTTTAAACTATAAATTCAAATAAATATTTAATATTATATCATAAATTGAATAAAATTATATTCCAAAATATCATGTTTTAAAAAAATAAATTTAAATAAAATTAATCTATATAGAACATTTTTAATTTCACGAGTCAGAAATAAGAATACACAAATTAATAAAAGTAATATCTAACCTCTTCATGCCCATTTCAGAAAAAAAAATCATCCAAATAAAAATAATTGATTATATATAAGTATTATTATTAAAATGAAAATACAATATTAAAAATAAGATTTTAGAAGTTGACATAAGACGTAACTAATTTATAAATATATTTAAATAAAAACATTCATATTTATTAGTGTATATAATTTTTATGTGTTCATATTTTTATTATATTGCTTAGTTAAAATTTAATATATATATATATATATATATATATATATATTAATTTTAAAATATATATTTGTTCTTAAAATTATAAATCATTTGAGACAAATAAGTGAGTAAGATGGAGTTTCAAGAAGAGAAAAAATGAAAAGAAATGGAAGAAAATTTGTAATTGAGATAGTAAAGAAAAAATAATATTTTTTATTTATCATTTTATATTTAAGATAAAAAAATTAAAAAAAAAAATAAAGAAAAGAGGATAATATATATATATATATATATATATATATATATATATATATATATATATATATATATTAAAATATATTTTTTTGTTATGCAGTGTTTTTTCATATATTAATAGTGATTCCTTGTTTTATTCGAAATGTTATTCTGGTAAAGAAATGAATATCTTATTGTAAATAAATATATGTATGTAATTACTCTTTTACGTATGCATAATTTTTAATTTTGATTTGCTGTTTGAGCAAAATTTGTGGCAAAAAATTTATGATATAGATATTTTTTGTATGATTGTGTAATTTAAAATGACATTGATTATATTTTTCTGTTACTTTATACACTTTATCTTTAAAAAAAGGACTTGTATAGATAATTCTAATAATCATTTTAAAAAATGGAAATAGACTATTTATTTTGTTATAATAGAATTTTGAAACATATTATATATTAAATAAATTTTATAATAAAAATTATTATTAAAATTACTTAATTCAAATTCGTCTTCAACATAATACATATTAATATATAAATTTAAATAACTTTTATAATAAAAATTATTATTAAAATTACTTAATTCAAATTTCTTAATTCAAATTCGTCTTCAACATAATACATAATTAGAGTTATTACATGAGTTCCGGTGATTTTTATTATATTTACTTTTTCTAACCATTCCGATGGAATTCTTTTAAGTATATCCTCAAATTTTTGTTAGGTTAAATATTCAAAATATTTAATTTGTAGTATGTATAATCATATTATCACCTAATTATCAGTTAAATAATTATAGTTATTAAAAAAACATTTTAATCAGTACATTAGCGTTTTTATTATTGACTATATTAATCCTTTATTAAATTTTATTTTAAATTATTTCAATTAATATTTTAATTTTAATTTTAATTTTTTTTTCAAAACTCTTCTGCTTAATTAATGAAGTGACTGCGCCAGTATTTAAAAAATGAACATAGTAAAATTAAAATATTTATCTTATAATATTTTATTTTTAGAGGAGCTTTAACATAATAATGCCACCAAATTTAATTTTGTTGGTTCAGCCCATATACTTTGAGGATTTTGGGCCTTAGACTATGTATAACCTATAACTAGGAGTGAGTGTTTTGACTATTGACAAAAATGCATTGAAGAAAATGAAAATGAAGTAAAATTTTATTGGGTGACAACAGAAAATGTTTGATCATTCATTTGCATCTGCGACGGTGAATAAACACTTTGTTATTTTGGCTGATCATCCTTGTACAAGCCTTCGCCATCAAGCAAAGCTAAAAAGACATGGAAAAAGAATAAATTAATTGATTTACAGTTATCCAGTTGGAGGAAAGGGAGTGTGTTGCTTTTATCCTAAATAGGGTGAAGCTAAACTTTATCTAAACAATTGTCCAATCACTTTCCAGAGAGAGATTTTGTTCAACAGGGTATAATAGGTTTCCAGGTCTGGGAGGCTTTTTTGAAAATAAAGATGACTTGCTGTTGTCAAAGAAACTTGAGAAAGAATGGCGAACCAACTTTTTTTCATCTACCTCTTCTTTCCTGACAGACCTGGCCAATGGTTTATCTTTACCACCGAAGATATGACTAATTTGCTTAAACCGGTGTTTTGGTTCACCAGTAGACATCCGGCGTTTTGGTTCACCAGTAGTCATAGTTGATTCTTCCATCAGCTTCATCATCTTCTGTGCCTCATCTGGATTCAGTAACATTTTCTCCACCATTTCATACATCTACATAGGGTCATCACCAATATTTTTATTTTCATGAATTTAGGTTACTATTAAATAGTTGTCAATTAAAACTACAGTGTGTGCTAAGTATAGAACAATGAACCCAAATACTAAAAGCCTCACAAAATTTTGCCAGTCCTAAGTTTCTGTTTTTATTTACAGTTAACTGCCTCTTCAAATTGATCGATGAGGAGTTAACTCCACTGGTTACATTTTGACAATTTCCTTAAGGAGTAAATTTTCAGTACCACTTACTCTTGTAATTAATTTTATAAATTCAGAAATTTTCTTATTTTTATTGTAAAAGATTAAAAAACGGAAAAAATCATCCATGCTACAATGAATCTTTATAAATTAGTCAGTTTAGTGTATTGGTACCCACCTGAACAAGCTCATCGAGTTTCTCAATGAATCTGTTGCTTTGACAAGCTGCAACTGTGTACTCCTTGCAGTCATTGAACAATTTTGAAATGTCAGCATCACGAGAGAGCCTATTTTCAGCAATTGCAAATCCTGAACCGAGCTGTGGAGTTAAGACCAGAAATTATTATTAGAAAGGCATGCCAATGGTACAATCCTTGATGAATAGTTTACTTATTCACTATCATCTGTCATTGATATCTAGTCAACGAAACACAAGCTGAAATGAAAGATAAAAAATTAATGATAAATAATTCGTTAAGAAACATAATAAAATACTACAATATTAGAATAAATATTCCAAATCAAATAGAGCATTTAAGAACAATTGAGAACAATAATAAGTAAATATAAAGAAAATCTAAGTTTAGACGGTTGAAGCACTCATAGCCTTATCCTTAAGAGAAAATGCCCCCACTATACTGTTAGTATTTCTTAATTTCTAACATTCCCCCATTATTTAAAATTTAAATAAAGAAAATAATAAAATATAAAATATATTAAAACTTAAAAATAAAAATAAAAATAGAGGATGATATGTTATATTTTCAGTATAAGGAACCTTGTGGGTTTGAGCCTTACACCTAGTGCTTATGAAGCTTCACTTGAGAAAATATAAAGACTAGATTGTCTTGAGTTACATCTCCTTCAATCAAGCTTTAGAACACAAGACAATATAATAAATGTGTTCATTTGAGTTATAATCAGTGGTGCGTATTTTGGCCTTGCAAAAGTATCTTGTTTCGTGAATATAATTTAGAGATTTGCTTATATCTCACAATAGCAGCCCCACTACCACATTCATTAGGTGAACCCTCAAAGGATGATTTGTGACTCAACTTTACAATAGTTGTCATTGGATTCATTAAGAGGTATTTTGAATATGATAATATACATACTTCAACCTTCTTCTCAAAATTTAGAGTGCACCTTATCATAGAAATAAGACAGAATTTATTTAAATCAAATGGTATACTTTAGTCAACAATAACTTTGTTACTACCCATTAAACTCCATTCCTGGGATTTCCATTCAATTGGAGTTGGGTGTCCATCATTGCAACTTAATTGATGGGCTTTAGTTCATTCCCTCCTAATTCAAGCATTTATTAATGCATCCATTCATTTATGATCACAATATTATCTTTAAACTGGCCATAAAGATTTCGGCATAAATCCTTTCCTCGTACCTTTGTGTAACCATAAATTACGAAGTATTGATACACAATATTAGCTAAAATCATAGGAGATGTCTCAAAACATACATTAGCCAAATGTAATGTGAATAACATCAAACAACATATTCAAAACTTTATGGTTCAAAGCACCTAGAAACTCATTCAAAGTAAACGGACTTAGAAACTTGGGAATGCAAACTTATCACAAAAATCCGTAAACTAAAAGCAGGTTCAAAACACATTTTTCCGAAATGTCAACTGTTCCTGAAGACATCAGAACTCAAATTTATCACGCCAAAATATTTCATAAAAAAAAAAAAAAACTTCTCTCTATATTGATAGACCAAAAATTAAAGATAAACAATTCGATAAGAAACATAATAAAAACTACAATATTAGATTAGATATTTCAAATAAAAAAAAAAGCAGTTGAGAACAACCAAGAACAATAATAAATCAATATAAAGAAAAACTAAGTTTAGAATAGCTTGGGTTGAAGCGCATATAGCGTTGTCCTTAAGAGATAACACCCCCACTGTACTGGTCGTATTTCTTAGTGCGCTCCTCTCTCAAGATACGTCAACCAGATAGCAAAAGATCCCCGAACCAATGAACACCGCACCAAATAGAAGAGGAAGACAATTTTAAATAGAAATAATTTCAATACTGTCATGTGTATTCCTTCTCTAGTACGTAGTATTTATAAACTTAAGACACAATCAAAAGAAGAAATACTAGTTCAAAGTAAAGGTAGTCATTTCTCCCACCAATATAGGAACCATAAAATATCTGAACCAATTAGTGAAAGACTTAGTCAAATATTTAAAATAATAATAATAAATATAATTTAAATTTTAAATTAATTTTCAATTGATAGACTTAATAAGAAGTAATTCATTAAAAAAACATAATATAATGCTTTGTTTGCTTCTACCGATTTCCTATAGTAGAAGATTTGTGAGGATATATGTTAGTTTGTTTTGGTTGATTTGAGTGGGTTTGGCGTGATGATGAGATGGGTTCCACACCCTCATAAATCTTGTCATCATTAACTTTTCTTCATTTGCATGAATATCCAATTCCACCTCACAAGGATAATTTGGTCATTATACTAAAAATACTTTTATTCAATTATCCTATATTCAATCACTTCAGTTACAATAAATCCACTCAAATCCCTTCAAATTCACTATCTTTCCCTCAACCCAAACAACCCCACAAATCCATTCAAATCACCTCAAATTCACTCCCTCAAATCTCCACCTCAATCCAAACACAAGCTAAGTGCACTTTTCTCCCAAGATACTTCAACCCAATAGATTTTCTGTATGCAGCAAAAGATGTCAAACCAATGAACATCTCTCCATAAATTTAGAAGAGAAAGATAATTTTAAATAGAAATAACTTTTAATACTTTTATGTGTATTCCTTCTCTCGTATAGTAGTATTTATAAACCTAAGACAATTTAAAAAAGAAAAACTAGATCAAGATACATGTAGTCAATTCTTCCCCCAATAGAGGAATCACTATATATCTTAACCAACTAGTGAAAGACTTATTCACTATCATCTCTCATTTATATCTAGTCAACGAAACACAAGCTGAAATTCTCTCAGGAACTACAAATTATTGCAAGATCATAAATAGATATAATTTTTCTTTAAATCAACTAACTAATATACTACATATTCTTTTGAAAAAAAAATAGAAATTAAGAGCAATTAGATAATTAGAACAAATGGGACCATCTAAGTCCAAGATAAGAAGCAATCCATACTGTAATCAGCAATAATGTTCTATTAAATGTTGGACTCCTTTTTTATCAGTTATACATAACAAAAACAATTCACACGAGATGAAAAAAGGTAAGGGAGAGAGAACTAACAAGAGAAACAAACAGCTGTTCAAAAAGCTCTGAAGGCTGGATGTCTTCAAATGCATCTAGAATACCCTCCCTACAAATGAATGTGAATGTCACTCAAGTGAGACGGCTTTAAGGGGAAAATCCAAGCTCATAAAAATGGTTTATTAAGACATACACTGCCAAATCCTCATCATAGAGAGGTGCCTGTTTAACAGCTGGAACTGATTTAGATGTTTCCCATAATTCACGCCACAAATTACCTACCAGCAACATGTGAAGGAGAATTTCAGCAAAGTTCCGTAGAAAATTAAAAGATGTGTCATAATGCAACTGTAGTAATTGTCAGGATTCACTTATCTGGACATCTTTTACCAGATATGTAAGATATTAAAATGGGTATCATATATCTTATTAAATCCTATAAAGATTGAGATAAAACATGTGACAATTCATATAAATCTAACAACGGTTCAAAATACTATACATCAAACAACCTTTTAAAATTATAAAAGACGGGACAAACACTAACAGTTTTTGAACCTTGTAATCATGATAAGCTATGATGGCCAAAAGAAGTCCAAGAAGGGAAATTAGTGAACCAGAAAACTTAAACAGGATTTCATAGCCCTAGAGTAATTGGAGAAAACATGAAGACCAAGAACTACTCTTTCACTCAGATAGGAAGCATTATAGAAGAGTTCAAAATTGGTTTGACAACATCTCAGTGGAATTCACAAATGCTCAACGGTAACTTGTGATTACATATAATAAGACATATGCTTCATTATAGATCCTAGTGTATGAGAGAGATTAATTTTTTTTCTTGAAAACTTTATTTTAATTGGGCTTTTTAAACCACAAAAATTCCCTCACTAGCCTGTGCATTGGACAAATTTTGCTATATACAGTGTGGATTTTATGCATTCCTTCCACACACCTCAGCAAATCACAATCCAAGTAAATAAACACAAATGATTAGCATCTTGAAAATGTACCAACAGTTTGTCACAACTGGTTACGAGATACAGGGAATTAATTATTTTTGTTCCAAGCCAAATCAGATGCAAATGGTCAGATAATATAGATATTGATCACAAAAATGTGTTGGATAAGACTAAGTAAACCTACCTTCTTTTTGCATTCGTAGACTTAGTTGACCTCTGGTAGACATTGACTCACCACAATGAAGAGAATCTCCATCCTCAGAACCTCCCTCATTTTCAGTCCAGTCAGGAGGAGAGTACCATCTCACAAAATCTTCCAAAATGCAACCAGGATTTGCAGCCTAGAATATGATCATAAACAGAACTAACTTAGAACATCATTACATTCAACACAATTCAAAAGAATTACGAATATCAGTAGGAAAAGTTCTCCTCAAGGGAAAGTCTGACCTTGAAAGCCTGCATATCAGAGAGGAGTTGAGAGCATCCAGCACCAACACTGACCGTACAAGATAAATAAAATTATCAAGAAATGCCTACCCAATAGTAACTAGAGTAAGTCTAGAACCTATTACTTCATAGATGCAGATAAGCAGTGAAATTAAGCTATCATTTGCATATCAAACTCATGAGATAATAATACAGTCATCAATATACAGCAAAGATAAATTTAGTGAACATTTTTTGTTAACCAAGTAGTCCATCAGCTCAAAATTTAAAATCAAGAAAGAGGGGGAAAAAGAACAATATGAAACACTGTTACTTCAATTTGTTTCACATATCTATGTCCGATCCGATACTCTAGGATAGCTCACCAATATGTATCGATGCAATATCCAAACATATTAAACACTAATACTTTTATTTGTTTCACGTGTTTGATAGCGATATTTTTAGATATTTCACCCATATGTATTAGTGAAGTGTCCAGGCTTTTATAACATGTATTTCCAAAAAAAGCTACAAATACACGTATGTGTAATGTAGAAACATATAAATATTGTTTTTTCATAAACAAAATTAAGGGAATTTTTCTCTATGAATTATTTTTAAAATGTGATGATATTTATAGTGTTATTCCTCTATGTGAATAACAGAAGTAATTTATGATGACAATGACTTGTAATTTTTTATTTTGACAATGTCTAAGATATGTGATTTTAATTTGGATTTGCATAATTTCAGTTTTATATTTATTATGTTTTATGAAATTTTATATATTGTCAAATATGTAGCTTATATGTATCATATCCTATTATTTATAGAATTACCGTATTGGATGAGCATTGTATCCAATATGCGTATAGTATTTGTCCATCATAGGATCAAAGTAAACATCTATAATCTATTCGATTAGTGCATTTTTGGAAATGATTCATTCTGGGGAAATAAAAGCTCTCTTAGGGCTCACTACAAAAGCAATTATATCTCAGATAGTTTACATACCTTCCTGTCCGCAGCACAAACTCCTCTGTCTCTTTGATCAAATCTTCTGTAAGCAAGGGTCCCTCCTACATGAAATTGCCAGAAGTATGTATGAAAAACATCAAATACTGAAGCAAGTTCAAATAAATAACTCTACAAGGCAGATAGCTATCAAACCTGGGTGACAGGAGAGTATGCAGGCTCGCCCGTTTCCAGTAACATCAGATCTCCAGATGGGCAATCAGCACCAAGTCGAAGAACAAGCTCTCCAGTTCTTAACCTTGCATATAATAAAGGGCTTTCAGGAATTTTACCTGCGTACTTTTCTGGTTCTAATGTATTTAAATTAGCTTCTTCCATCATAGAGTTTAGTGATTCAGTGGCAATATTATAGCGCCTTTTCCGAGAAATGCAACAGTTAATGACTTGAATTTTTTGATAAAGAAGACAAAACTTCAGATCTGGAATGTCATCTGGGGGGACTCCAGGTAAATGTTTCTCTTCGGACCAATGTTTTCTCAGCTGCATAAGTAAAAAAAATTCAAAGCACACTCGTTTAGCTGGTCATCAAGGGTCAGTTTGTTTAAAGATTTTGGGTAGAAAGTGACAAGTACAGGAGATGAGCAAACAGAGAAAGTAACAAAAAAATGTCACTTTTCCTTGGGTCTCACGTGTCTTTTTAGTCAAATATGAGGTGAAATGAGTGGAAAGTGCAAAGAGAAACTAGTATTTGCAAAATTACCCCTCTCATCTCTCTCCAATATAGGATTAGACCACGTTCATATTTTTCTGTGATGTGATATTATTTTATAAATATAGTAACTCAAATATATTTGGTCACGCCCTGACATTACTCTAGCCTACTTCAGTCCAAGTCACAAACTCTTGAATGGAAATTTATGTAGGATTTCATTCCATGGACAAGCAGATGCAACATTATAACTTAGGTAAATAACATGACAATTCATAGGTTGTTAAGGACTCTAAAAGTACCAAATAATAAAAGCATATCAGTAGAAATGGAGGGAGTACCAGTTGGAAGATAACTTACTAGATCAAACTCCTAAGTCAAAAATCAACAAGGGAAAAAACCACCCGAAAAAGCCCAAGTTCCAAAAATAAAACAAAGCATGATCAATACAAAGAAAGACTATGTTTCTATTTCTCAACATGGCATCATGTCAGCTCATATATTTATTTATAATAGTCAAAATCATACCAAATTTAATAAAAAAATTATACTGATTAAGATAGTACAATTCATCAACAACATCAGCCATTAAACTAACAATTACTAGAGCAAAAGACAATATCTTATATATTGCAGAAACTAGAAAAAAATATAGAGATTAAATGAAATCTAAGCTTCTAGGTTCTTAATAAAAAACTATATAATATTAAAACTATAAATTTATATTGAGCTAAACTTACTTCAGCAACAACCCTGCACCAAAAAAGAGCCATTTCTTGAAGCGTCTTGAAGTTTCCAATTACTTCAGCTAGCTTAGCAACTAAGCTTTCAGGAGGAGCACCATGAATATCTCTTGGGAAAGATAATTTGGAAGTTTTCTCTGGATCAGAGTTTATCGTCCTTCTAAGGAGCTTTCCCTCTGCAAATATCTTGCAAAGATTACAAAGGATGTGGAAAGTCATCACAGAATAAAGCACCCAAAAAATAAAATTATAAACATAAAAAATAGGTTAGTTGATGTAATTATATCATCAGTGAGCAATCTAAATTTCATATACCTGGATCAAACAAAGAATTAATCAAATACAGAACTTTTTCATCGCTACTATACTCAGAGGTTAGTTTGCCCTCCTTTTCACGCAACACTAAAGCCTTCATTGAAGAGAGACTTAAGCCTGTCCTCTCTCTGGCAGGTGAAGAACCTCTTGATGAAGCTACAAAATCTTTCATTGAGTTTGTTCTCCTTCCAGCCCTAGTCAAAAGGCCCAAAACTTTAAGAGGCTAGCTGTATCGTTATTCATTAAGGTGAAAATCTTTCTGAATAACAAGAACAAGAATCATAATATGTATACTACCCTTGCTTTATCCATTATGAAGATAATTTTAACAGCTCTTACTGTTAGGTTTAAAAAATGCACTAAAAATTGGGAGTAAGAAATGGGCCTTTCAGTTGCCATAATTTGGTTAAAGAATCTAGCCACGTTCAAAACAAAGAATCTTAAAGCAATTCATAGAATTGACAGGAAAAAGGAGAGCATAGCTTACTCAAAAGCTATAGCCAACTGCTTCAGAACAGACGATGGAGGGATGGGGTGTTCAGTCGCAGCAGTTAAGCCTTCGACCGAGGGAATTGATTCAGAAGCCTGAAGTAAATTTTTTCATCAGACATCATCAAAGCAATCAATTTTCATACATGAATCTGAAAAATATGTTCAGTTTACTGGAAAGAGTTATAGAGCAGTTAACCATGAGATTATTAGGCATGCAGTACTAACTTGTCACAAGTATACCATGCATGCATAAAATATTTTTTCCTAGCTTATGAGTAATGACAGTGACGCGGTCTGAAAGACACTATGTTAAAAACAAAATGATCATAGTTGACACTTGGCATACATGATCAGATTTTCCGAAATAATGGACAATAGGTTAGAAACTTCAATTGGAAGATAAAAGCATTGAATAAAAAAGTCCCAGATCTTCTTACCTTGGCATCAATATCATTTTTCACATTGAGAGTGTACGAATTTTCATCATAAAATGGAGCAGAGGCCATGTTTAAATCGCCGACTTTATCTGTTACTTCAACTTCTTTTCTCCCTTTTCGCATGTTGTTTAATCTATCTTGCCAATCCTGCTTTGTTCCTATATGCGGAGGTCTCCACTTTATATGCTTCAGTTCATTGAGAAACTGCGCCATTCAATCACAAAAATATCAGTTATGCTTACAGTCATCCCGAACATAACACAAGCCAACAAGAGTTTTTGTGCCCATCGTCTCTATGCAAAGAGATATATAGGGCCATAAGCACCTGTATGGTTTCAAGACAAAACAGGTTTTATTGTTCACAAATAATTACAAAAACATCACGTTGTCTTTCATTCCATTTCCTATTTTCACACATTTATATAAAAAAAATAAGTAAAATTCTTTCCCTTGGGGAAGGTAACTTATAACTACTACGAATTTTCATTATTTACATTAAGTGACAAACTTCAACAAATCAAATATTGAATCTAGTATATGTATATATTTGGACTAACTTTTCGGCCAACAAATAAAACAGCATTTCAACCAACAACTACCTCTAAAAATAAGTTAATCCAAACTAACGCAGCAATCTAAATTTTAATTTCCAAACTTTAGCTTCGAATAAAACAAAACAAATCTACTTTCATTTCATAATTACAAAAAATAAAAATAAAAAAGAATAACAAATATAGTGTCATTTCATAATTTAACGGTAAACAAAAAATGGGGCACCCGTAGAAGTGAATAAATCTGTACCACAGTCCCATAATCTCATCCCGTAAACGCAAATATACAAACTAAATTCGAATAATTAAAATCAAATATCTATGCTTTCAAAAACACCAATTACACACACAAAATAAAACAGTAAAAAAAACGACCACAGGCTACAAGCTAAGGAATGCATCTTCAAACCTTCGACTCATGCTCGCTCCGAGAAGATTCATCGCCCCGCTGCCTCCCTAACCCGTCGTGAAATTGCTTATCAGAATCTTCATCGATCAAAATACGGCGTCAATGCTAATTCCCAAAATTTCAAACTAAAAACAGAACAATCGAAAATTCCCAAACGAAAAACAAAAATAGAAACGAATCGCATTTCAACGCAACGTGAACGAAAGAGAAACCAACGAAACACACGCACTCACCTCGATCGATTTTGAAGTCCATGAGAACACGCTCCGCTTTCGCTGCAGCAGAATGGAGCGGTGCGCGCCTTGGACACGAAGGAACTCGCGTGAGCCTCCATTTCCTGCGCCGAGGGTGCGCACGTTAAGGGACAGCACAACGCAACACACTCTTTTTCTTCTCAGCTAGCAGAAGAAGAAACACATATAAATAGTTAAACAGATAGAGAAAGAGAGTGTAATTGTGTGTGGATAAGTAATTGTAGAGTGAATTGTGAAAGAAACAGAACAAGTCTAAGTCCAATTCAAAGATAAAGATGAAGAAGAAGAGACTCAGTACAAGAATGAGAAGAAAGTGGTGGTGATGGTGATGACCAGGTAGTGCTTAGGCTGCTTCAAAACTTTAGATTTTTTATTGCGGTAAGTAAAATAAAAATTTAAAACTAAAAGTATTTGATTCGTTTAGTAAGAAGGTTTTTAATTACTATAAATTTAGTCAAAATATAATTAATTTTCTAACTATTTTTTGGTTTGTTTGTGATGATATTAATTACTATTAATCTACGTAGAAGCATTATTGAAAAAAAAATTAATGGAAGGAATAATAAATTTAAAACATATATTATTAATTGATAAAAGTTATAATGAATATAATTCTTAAGATAATTGCTATGAAAATCAATAGATTTAATACTTATAACCCTTTATAATTAAATAAAGCCATAAAATATCTTTGACATTTAATTAAATCCATTAATTTATTTATCTACTCAAGTAACTTCTTTACAATTTGTTTTTTACTTGGTTAGGATCTGCACTGCACTGCACTGCACAGCACACGTGAAAGTCATAATAAATTTAATTTTCAAATTATGTATTTGTTATTATTATGTACACTCATATACTTATATGAATAAATTAATAAAAATATATTAATATTAGTTTAATAATATTAAATTATTTTGAATAATAATTAAATTTTATTTATTTATTTATATTAATATTTTCTGATATAATTATTTATTTTTTAAAACAACTTATATTAAAAATTTAACATAATAAAGTAAAATATAATAAATTTATTATACATTAATCAATTTAATTTAAAATGAATTTAATAACGAGATAAATAAAGTGATTTAAAATTTGAACGATTAAATTTAGTAAATAAAGTTATTTCATTTGAATAATTTTTATTTTCAAATATCATTTAAAAAAAATCGCATTGGGAGAAAAAAACATCCTGTTAGGATTCAAAAACACCTTGAGGTGCATCGAAAATCGCGTTTGATTCTGGAAATGACAGCTAACAATACCGATGAAACACTGAACAACATTTCTAGGTTCTCTGTGCTGCACCAACATCGTCGTCGCCTCCGCCGCATCCACCGTCGTCGCCGTCTCTACAAGGTTTCTTTCCTAGCCTTTCGCGTTTTCTTAGCACTGACCTGTCTTATTTCTCAATCGATCAGAAATACATCGATTCCTCATAGTTTCAATTACATAGCTGTTTAGATTTGCACTCTAACTGTTCGTAGAAATGCTTGTTCGAGGTTTCGCTACAGATAAAGTTGTAATCACATTGGTTTGTGTTATTCAATTGAAATAATACAGTTCTTGTGTGCTGGGATTTTTTATGGCTCGGTGACTAACTCGTTTCTTTGAATGGGTCATGAACTTGATGGGTTTTATTGGGATGACTGGAAAATGGTGATCTAGTAGGGAACAATAATGTCGAGGTTGTGTGAGTTCTTGTTGATAAAGTTGACACTGTTGTTGAAGGTTGTTAGCCCAAGTGAGAAGCTTGTTAAACGCTTCACTACTGACAATAAGTTGAGAAAAAATGTTTGAAGGGTTGCCAGTTAAGGGGAAATCTGACCTCTGAAAATTCAAAGCATAAAAAATCCTCTATTAGTTTCTCTTAGTTATCTTCCACACAGAATGGCTGAAAATATAGCTTGAAGATTTTTTTTAACCATGGAAAGCTTGAAGATTTATTGATATTTTTTCAAAGCGAATTACAATTCTAGTTTGCTTCAGATATGGTAGATTTCCATTTTGAATAGGCTTGAGGACATTGTGGTGAATAAACTATGATGATATGAGGGCAAGTATCACATGTTTTCTAAATGTGTGCATATGATATAGGATGGATAATTTTGTTTCTCTTGTTTAGGTACTGGAGAACATGTACAATTATCTTATGATATATTTTCTATTATAAGAAAAACTAGTTTCAATTCCGAGGTATTTTCAAATATATTTTCTTGTAGGTTTTGAAATAAGTTTGCAAACTCCCCCACTTTTTCATACTAATGGTTTCAGATTTTAAAGAAACTATAGATTGAAATGGAGTTTTGTTGGCTTTAGTTAATATTGGCTTTGTGCAAGTATCGTAGAGACAAATAGTAAATTTTACTTTCTAGTTTATTCTATTTCTATGAATATCTACTTGGTCATTGCCATGGACTAAAGTTGGGAAATTTTAAGTTCCATAATAAGTCATAGCTAGGAATACTTGCAGTATTTGGTTGTTACATTAGTGGTATCGGGGCATAACATCTAGACTTATTTATGTGGGGCAGCTTAGATAATGGACCGGTAATTTGGAGGCTAACATAGGGTCTTCTTCTATTCTTCCCTTATTTTAATGAAATTTCTTGTGAACATTGTTAGATATTGTTTAGATATTATTTAATATTGTTAAGATATTGTTACATATTAACCATAATATCAAACAATATCTTCTGTTTATTCTGTTACTTTCAGTTACTCTTTTAGTTGTATCTCTCTACTATAAATAGACTACCCTATGTGTGATTTATACACAAGGGAGATTAATCCCAAACTCTATTTCTTCTATATTCAACATGGTATCTAGAGCTTAAGGTTATTTTGAATTTTTTTTTTTGCCTTTGACCACTATTGAAGCCGCCACCACCGCCACTATCGCTGTTGGTTATTTGGTAGTGTGAAAGTACATGTCTAGGAAAGTTCTGACAAGGAAAGACTTGGTATTTAAGCGTGTCCATTAGTGACCCACCTCTCTTTCCTGGGAACTTACCTGGTGTACTGGTTCACGCCGTTGTCACTATCGCCTCCGCCTTTTATGAGTTCTTCCGCTCCTTTTAGTACTTTCAATTCTGTTAGTACTGCGTCTGATCCTTCCATCTACACTAACTATGTTAATGTGCACTTATCCATTGACAAGTTAACTGACCCTAATTATGTCACATGGTCATCAGATGTCAGATTATGGCTTAAGAGTCAGAAGTATCTTAATCATCTTGCCCTGAAAGCACCTACTCTCACTCCTGGTGAGGAAGACCGTTGGGACACCATTGATGTTCAATTATGCGTGGTTCTCAAGGGTACTCTTGATCCTTCGTTAAAACAAATTTTTCGTTCCTACGAAACATGTGCCAAAATTTGGGAACATGCCAAGTTATTATACACCAATGATACTCAACGTCTCTATGATGTCTGTTCTAAATTTGTAGATGTTATTGCCTCTAAACATCAAGATTCTATGACTGATTATATGGGCAAAATTCATGCTTTTTTTCATGAGTTCAATGAGTTATTGCCTCCTTCCCCCGACCCTACCACCGAGATAGGACAACGATCAAAGTTCTTCATGCTAGGGGCATTACACGGATTTGCTGATCAATATTCACATATTCGTGATCAGATTTTGGGTTCTCCGGTTGTCCCCACCTTGACATCGACCTGCTCCACTCTTTTGCGTGTACCAGCAAAACCCAATCCTGACACACCTGCTTCTGTTAATGATTCTTCTGCATTGGTATCTCACCGTGATGATCGAACTCGCCCTCGCAAACAAGGAAAAGGGCGTCCTAAGTGTGAACATTGTGGCACACTAGGTCACAAGATTGACCAGTGTTATGCATTACATGAGTGTGAACATTGTGGCAAATTAGGTTACAAGATTGACAAGTGTTATGCATTACATGATTGTCCTATTCGATCTACTGCAGTTGCTCAGATTGATCTTTCCCCACCTTTATTTGTTAAGGACTCTCCTTCTTCTATTTCATCAGACACACCTGCTATGTTCAACAAATTTGTCAAATGGTATAAGGATCAATAGTCTTCTAGTTCCACTGTGTCTATCGCATACACAGGTACATCTTTTGCTGGTCTGACCCAATCTTCTTCTGGTCCTTGGGTTTTTGATTCAGGAGCCACTGATCATATTACTGGTAACAAATCTTTGTTCTCCTCTTTATCCTCTCCTGATCCTTTACCTTTTGTTACACTAGCTGATGGCTCTAGAGTATCATCTCATGGTGTTAGAACTATTAAACTTTTCCCTTCTTTAACCATTGATAATGTTCTTTATGTCCCTGGATCTCCTTTTAACCTGTTATCCATAAGTCGTCTAACTCGTTCTCTTGATTGTGTTGTTTCTTTTACCAACAATTCTGTGTGTTTACAGGACCGGAGTTCGAAACAGGTGATTGACATAGGATGTGAGTCTCATGGTCTTTATCATCTTCGTCCCTTTACACATGTTGGTACAGTTATAGAGTCTCTCTCTCTTCTCCATGCTCAGTTAGGTCATCCAAGTCTTGCCAAGTTATAGCAACTTGTCCCTGCCTTATCTAAATTGTCTAGTTTGGCATGTAAGTCGTGTCAACTAGGCAAGCATAGTCGTACTTCCTTTCCTCGTAGTGTCACACATGGTGTTTCGTTCCCTTTTGCCGTGGTTCACTCTGACATTTGGGGACCTAGCCGCGTTAAGTCTACTTTAGGTTTTCAATACTTTGTTACTTTCATTGATGATTATTCCAGATGCACTTGGTTATTTTTGATGAAAAATCGTTCTGAATTATTTCATATCTTTCAAACTTTTTTCAATGAAATTCAAACTCAGTTCGGTGTTTCTATTAGAGTTTTGCGCAGTGATAATGGTCGTAAATATCTTTCTCATTCTTTTAAACAATTCATGGCTTCTCATGGTATTTTGAATCAAACTTCTTGTGCTTATACACTTCAACAAAATGGTGTAGTTGAACGTAAAAATAAACATCTTATTGAAACAACTCGCACTCTTTTAATTCATGAAGAGGTTCCTCAACATTTTTGGGGTGATGCTCTTCTTACTGCATGTTATCTTGTTAATCGCATGCCATCTTCGGTTCTAGATAATAAAATACCTCATTCCATTTTATTCCCTCATGAACCACTTCATCCCTTACCTCTAAAAGTTTTCGGGTCTACATGTTTTGTTCATAATTTTAATTCTAGTCTTGACATGCTTTCTCCTAGATCACATAAATGTGTTTTCTTAGGGTTTACAAGATTACAAAAAGGATACAAATGTTTTTCTCCTTCTCTTAACCATTATTTTGTGTCTGTAGATGTCACCTTTGATGAGTTCTCTTTTTATTTTAAAAGTCAATCTTCACCTCTGTCTTCATCCAATCTTATCAACACTCCTAGTACATTTAATGTTTCTGTTGTTTGTGACTCTCTAACTGTGTCTTCTTCACCATTAGATTCTACTCCGCAGTCAGCTTCTTCTTCACTGCCTCTTCAGGTTTATAGTTGTCGAACCCAATCATAACCACCACCATGTGACTCTACTCAAGTGTCAACTACTCTGTCTCCTCCGGATGTGACACCTGAGTCTGACCTTCTCATTGCCCTCCGAAAAGGTATCCGTTCTACACGTAATCTCTCTCCTCATTATATTGGTTTGAGTTATCATCGACTGTCATTACCTTTTTATACATGTCTTTCCTCTCTTTCTTCTGTGACCATTCCAAAAACTGTCCGTGAAGCTTTAGCCCATCCTGGTTGGCGTCAGACCATGTTAGATGAACTAAGTGCTCTTCATAATAGTGGAACTTGGGAATTGGTCTCGTTACCGTCTGGAAAATCTGTTGTTGGTTGCAGGTGGTGTTTGCTATCAAAGTTGGACTTGATGGTACTATTGATCGCCTCAAAGCTCGTCTTGTGGCTAAATGTTATACTCAAATTTTTGGGTTGGATTATGGAGATACCTTTTCCCCTGTGGCAAAGATGACTTCTGTTCGTTTATTTATCGTCATGACCGCTCTTCAACAATGACCTCTTTATCAACTAGATATTAAAAATGCTTTCCTCAATGGTGATTTGCAAGAAGAAATCTATATGGAGCAACCTCCTGGGTTTGTTGCTCAGGGGGAGTCTTCTGGGATGGTATGTCGTCTTCGCAAATCCCTATATGGCCTAAAACAATCTCCTAGGGCCTGATTTGGAAAGTTTAGCAAGGTTGTTCAACAATTTGGTATGACTCGGTGTGAAGCAGATCACTCTGTCTTTTATCGACACTCAAGTGCTGGATGTGTTTACTTGATAGTATATGTTGATGACATCGTTCTTACAGGTAGTGACAACCATGACATCTCTCAGTTGAAACAACATCTCTGTCACCATTTTCAGACCAAAGATCTTGACAAACTTAGATATTTCTTGGGTATTGAGGTGACACAGTCCAATGATGATATTGTTATATCTCAGAGGAAGTATGCCATGGATATTTTAGAGGAAACTGGGTTGATGAATTCAAAGTCTGTTGATACGCCCATGGATCCCAATACTAAACTTTTACCAAATCAGGGGGAGCTTATACCTGATCTTGAGCAGTATAGAAGATTGGTTGGAAAATTGAATTATCTTACAGTTAGTCGTCCTGACATTTCTTTTGCAGTCAGTGTGGTAAGCCAATTTCTTAATTCCCCATGTGAAGATCATTGGAATGCAGTCATTCGTATCTTAAAATATATTAAAGGATCTCTTGGAAAATGATTGTTATATGATTCTAATAACCATACAAGAGTTGTTTGCTACTCAGATGCTGCTTGGGCAGGATTTCCTTCGGATAGAAGATCTACATCTGGATATTGTGTCTCCATTGGTGGTAACTTGGTCTTATGGAAAAGTAAGAAACAAAGTGTTGTGGCAAGATCTAGTGCAGAAGCAGAATATAGAGCTATGACCTCAGCTGCTTGTGAACTTGTTTGGCTCAAGCAATTGCTTAGAGAGTTACAATTTGGAGATGTCACTCAAATGTCACTTGTGTGTGACAATCAGGCTGCTCTTCATATTAATTCTAATCCTGTCTTTCATGAGAGGACCAAACACATTGAGATTGACTGTCATTTCATTCGAGAAAAGATTATGTCTGGAGACATTAAGACTGAGTTTGTTAACTCAAGTTATCAGTTAGCAGATATTTTTACTAAATCTTTACGGGGTCCTAGAATTGATTATATTTGTAACAAGCTTGACACATACGATTTGTATGCTCCAGCTTGAGGGGAAGTGTTAGATATTGTTTAGATATTATTTAATATTGTTAAGATATTGTTAGATATTAACCATAATATTAAACAATATCTTCTGTTTATTCTGTTACTTTCAGTTACTCTTTTAGTTGTATCTCTCTACTATAAATAGACTACTCTATGTGTGATTTATACACAAAGGAGATTAATCCCAAACTCTATTTCTTCTATATTCAACAAGCATAATATGATGTTCGTCATTAGGTATGAGATAACTAGAATTGGATGATGAATAGTGGAAATTATTAGAAATAGATTGAGCCTAATTCAACCTGAACATTTAGCTCAAGGGGTTAGGATTATCATAATTTTATAGAAAGTATTTTGGTCATATTTCCCGCCAATGTTGGACATCTAACACACTCTTGCAATGCCAAGACTAGTAGTGACGGATCTTGACCATTGATCTTAAGAAGGCTAAATAATATGTTATAAATAAATAATAAATGAATATGAAAGGATGAGATGTTAAATTTGTAAATATACAAATAGGTATATTTAATAATTATTAAGTTTGAGAATGTCAAAATCATAAATACTAATGTAAGTTACAAAATTTTGGGAATAATCATTAAGTTTGGTGGACCAAAATCTTAAATGTTAATGTAATTTACAAAATTTTAGGGGGGGTCATGGACTCCCTCATCTCTCAAGAAGATCCGTCACTAAAAACTAGATATCTTCCATTGGCCCAACATTAAGACTCAGTAGACTCTAAAACCATATTAGAAATGAGTTGGACTTAAGCCCTAAAGCTAACTCAAGGGGGAGCATTATCCTAGTCTTACAAGGAGTGTGTTTTTTACTATATTTCAAATTTACATGAGATATCTTAATATAGGTTACTAAAAAGGGAAATGGAAGAGTAGTAATAGATGCACTATGTTGGAATACTGAACTATGAGAAATATTGTAGAGAAATGAACTAATGACCTAGGAAAATAGAGGAGAGACAGGACTACTACAACAAGATTAAGTGTAGTTGTTAAAATCTGCTTGTTCTTATAGGTGAAACATACTCACTAGTGGACTTTATTTTTGTTGTTCACTTTGATTCAAATATTTTGATACCAAGTGTTATTTTTCCCCTCTAACATACTCACCAAGTGTCATTTTCCCCTCTAACAATCACTAAAGCTCAACCTTTACAGAGCTATACCAACGAAGGCTTGTTCATTTCGGTGATTTTTTATTATTTTTACTATTTATTTATTTTGTACCAAGTAACGGATTTCACCTGAATGATTTATTTTGTGTCAACTGACCTAAGATTCAATAATAAGTGGCTGGATTTATTTTGGAAGTGAAGCATACTATAAGAAAAAATAAGTATATTTGAACAATGTACTGTCTTGGAGTTTTCTGTTAGAGATAATCTAGAACAGAATACAGTTAGGTCTAGCCAAGATATTAATTGTGCACTACAGCAGTGCTAACACAGCATGGTGTTGGAGAGTGGCCCTTGGTCTCTACAGAAGTGTTGTTGCCTGGGGTTCCGGAATGATGGCCATTGAGGCCAAAAATGCAGCTGAAACCGCGCCCATCTGCATGCTATAGTGGGGCACAATTCTAATGAGTAGCCACAAACTCTCTTGCTCTTGTTATCCCACCTCTCTTTTGAAGTGCAACCACCCTCTGAATATTGAAGCTCATCCATTACCCACCCACCACTACCAGAGACCTCTGTCCCGGCAGTTTTGCAACAACTACAACCGTCTTGGTCACTGGCACCTGCCTTCTCTGTTCCCGGCTACATAAAGCTTCTGTTTCTAGCTTCCCTATTTCTGTTTTCCAACCACATTCATTGTGTTAACTAAGCCATGACTTTATATTGTTAATTTTAAAGAGAATTTTGACTTTTTTTAGATTTCATATATATATATATATATATATATATATATATATATATAGTATATAAATAATTTATTATTTATACAGAATTTAATAGCAGCCATTGTCAGGAAAGTGAATTTTATGCCTCTGTCCCTTGTTATTGGTTTAATAAAATAATGATCAGAACATTTACAAATAATTATACTCATAATTACAAATATTCAATTCCCTGGTTTGTGTATTTATTTTAAGAATATTATTATATACAAATGAGGAGAACAAATCAATTCATGATTTATCAATTCATCAGGAGAACAGATCAATTCATGAGTTATAGATTAGACTTGTGATGATTATCAGAGAATTTGACGGTTAACTTTATATACAAAAATACATGAGAAAATATTTTGCATCTAGTCTCCGAGATCAGAATTAGCTATTCACTACTAACATATCCGCAAGATTAAATTATTGGTTTTAAATTCAAAGGACAAAGAGTCAAAGACAAATCCTCAGGTAACTTTTAACATTATATTTAGTTACACATCTGTTTATACGTAATAACATAATATTTTTCTTGGTATGCTATGATTTCTTTGTTGCAACTTTTACTTTAGCATACATATCGGTAATGTGATCGATGTAACTTTCATCTGTAGGCCCCCAAGTGAAGATTTAATGAATGGTGCTTCTGCATCTAGTAACCTAAGGGCAGCGTTTTCCCATTGCGTACAACAAGTGCGAAGTTATGATTATCATCACTATCTTTGCCTTCTTGAGCTGCCTTCATCCATGCGGAAGGCTGCATTTGCACTCCGAGCCTTGAATGTTGAAACATCTAGAGCTATAGATATTGCTTCAGATCCCAGGATTGGCCTTATGCGTCTTGTCTGGTGGCAGGAAGCCATAGACAAAATGTTCGCCAATAAATTGATTGAACACCCAACAGCACAGGCTCTGTCATCTGTGATAGCTGAGACCAAACTCAGCAAAATATGGTTGAAACGATCCGTTGAGGCTCGGATCAATGATGCAAGAAGAGAGGTTACTGACATGCTAGAAACTATTGAAGAGTTGGAGAAATATGCCGAGGACACTGTATCGACTATGCTGTACCTGACACTTCAAGCAGGTGGTATCAAGTCTACTGCAGCTGATCATGCAGCATCACATATCGGCAAAGCCAGTGGCATTCTCTTGCTCCTTAAATCACTGCCCTATCATGCCACTCGCAACGGACATTTTTCTTACATCCCAACTGCAATAGCATCCAAGCATGGGCTAATAGTTAAGCAGGGAGGTGGGGCACAGAGATGGGTGGATTCTCGTGAGGACCTTTATGATGCAGTGTATGAAATGGCATCAGTAGCCAATGCACACTTAGAAAAGGCTCGGAAGTTAGCTGCAAGTGTGCCTGCTGAGGCTCTTCCAGTGCTCCTTCCAGCAGTGCCTTCTCAGGTTCTCTTGGATTCCCTTAGAAAGGTCCAATTTGATGTGTTTGATTCAAGACTAACACGAGGGGTGCTGGGAATACCACCTTTGTGGTACCAGCTCAAACTCAAGTGGACTTCATGGAGAAGGAAATACTAACAAGATATTTCTTGAGGAGTTTTTGTTTGTCTTCTCTTTTCTGCACAGAATAAAAATTTGTCTACCTGCAAGAGGAAAGGTGTGTTGCCAGATTTTTATGTAGTGTAGGAGGAAAAGACCATTTATTTATTTATTTGAGTATGCATGCCATGCTTCTTGTTGGCAGATAAAGCTTAGCTAAGTTCTAATCAACATTTTATATGGATTCTTACTTATGTTTTGATATAATCGATGTTTTTTAGAGAGCTTCTGCACGTATTTTCATTTGACAACGTGTTCCTGTTTAATAAGGGGAAATGAAGCGGCTAGTGTGTGGAAGCTATTATTCCAGGAATTAATTATATAAAATGCTTCAAATATTAGTGATTATATATATATATATATATATATATATATATATATATATATATATATATATATATATATATATATATATATATATATATATATGATTGAATTTTATTTTTAATGACGTCAGTTTAGAATACGTTTTATCTAAAATTAATTTGAAAACATAATTCTTGTTAGTCTCATTTCATTAAAGTGATTTGGAAAATAAAATACGTTAAAATATTTGGATGCTTTTTTTTCTTCTTCATAACTCAGGTTTTGTTATTTTGATAAGAAATTAATTTAAACTTGGAGTTGAATATATATAACACTTTATGAAGACTATTTTAAGCTTTTATATTTAATATATATGTTGAGAATGAATGCAAGAATTACATATGACTTGTCAACCACATGCCATGTACTGATTAGTTTGTTTCTTTGTCCGTTAATCCAATTAATAAAAATATCTTATCCAATGGTTTTCAAATGAGCTAATTGATCATTTAATAGTTCATTCGATTAATTAATTAACTTATTGTCTAATTGATCGAACACTAACTAGCAGTAACAATGTCATCTAATAGTTATTAGACTAACACATGAGTCTAACCTATGTAAAGATTGACATCATCTTTGATCCCAAACTTTAAGATATTGAGTTGTGGATATTTTTTTATATATATTATTCAATTTTTTCATTCTTATTTAACATAGAACTTAGACTCACACTTAGATTTCTCAACAATTTTCCACTCAAGTGTGAGTCTCATCATATTAGTACATTTCCTCATTAGTGGTCATTTATTGTATCGTCGTTGAAAAAGCATCGACTCTGGTACCATTATTGGGTCTTTCGAAGGGTATTCACTGAGGAAAAATAACAACAATGAGACATGAGTCCAACACACATAAAAGATTGATATCACCTTCGACCCAAAACCTTAAGGCATTAGGTTGTGAGTCTTCCTTTCTTATATGTTTTTTAACTTCCTCATTCTTATTCAATGTGGGACATAGATTCACTTGGATTTTCCAACAATCTCCCACTCAAGTGTGAGTTTCATGAGTTTCATCATATTAGTACATCCCCTCGAGCTCACTAGTGGTCATTTCTTGTACTGTCGTTCATCATAACAGGACACGCTTAACTAACCCACTGTCAGGAAGACTTTCGATTCTGATACTGTTGTTAGGTCTTTCGAAGGGATTCACTGGGGAGAAATAACACCAATGAGACATGAATCCAACCCACATAAGGGATTGACATCACCTTCAACCCAAAATCTTAAGGCATTGGGTTATGGGTCTTTCTTCCTTATATGTTGCTCAACTTTCTCATTCTTACTCAATGTGGGACTTGGACTTACATTTGAATTTCCCAACACTAATCATTTGAGTCATCCAACAAAACTCAAAGTCATACGTAAAACATGTTAACTAAATAATATATTAGACTTGCTATATGTCATCAACTTTTTCAAATGAAGTACAACTAGGTTCAACTACATGTTATCTGTTGCTTTAATGAAGTGCAACTTAACTCAACCATATGTCATAAGCTAGAATAAGAGAAAAACTACTTATCATCAATCTCAATTGATGAAGTTTCACCTACTAAAGCTTAAATAGAATCTAGTTGCACGTCATAGGAATAACTCAATAGACCTACTGGTGAATGCATGAAGGGGCCAAAAATAAGTGACCAAGGAGTCATGCCTTCTAGAAGGGTTATAAGGAACGTGTCCTAAGGGTTACTTTTACTTACTATTCACACCTTAACTTGTATTGGACCTTATCTTTAGTTCACATTGGAGGGAACATACGAATCTATGCTGGCTTAAGATTAATTCATGGCCACACCTTGCATTAAAGCACATTTATCACATTTAACATGTGTTAAATGTGGAACTCATGGAGCACATGCCTCCCCTCACATGGGTTACTTTTCATGGATCTAAGATCCACATTTCACACCTTAGCCATTGGGAATTTGAATTTAAAATTTAAATTTCATTCCCTCCAAATTTCATAACTCATAGGCTATAAACAACAATCACATGTTTTTGTAAATCACTTTTGAATAATTAATGAAATTGTGAGCATATTATATCTTTGAAAATTAGAATATTCTCTCCTTTGGAGTCTTATCTTGCTTCTTTGGAATCAAGTTAAGACTCTTCTCATCACTCATCTTGGTGTGATCTCCAAGTTGTGTGGCTATGTTCATTTCCATCAGTATTCTCTGTTGGAATTAAAGGATTGAGTTCAAGAAGGAGGGGTGAATTAATCTATAATTTTTTTTAATATGATCAAAATGAGTCTTTATCCAAACAATTAATAATAGGATTTAATGGCCTCCATGTTGAACATACAAGGACTTGATGTTGAACTTTCATGGACATGAAACTTGTTGATTTTGATGATGATTCAAGAACAAAGAACTTAGAGTGTTGAAGACTTGTATTGTTGTGTAATAACTTTGTTTTGATGAGTTTAAGTCTGTAATATTAGAGTCTAAGATAGCCGGTACATAATCTACTCTTTAGAAGCTTCAAAAACTCATATTTATCAGTTAGCCTTGGGTTTAATCGATTAAAACATAAGATAATCGATTATTACAGTGAGGAAAACCATTTTCTATATCTGTTCACTGTAATAATCGATTAACACACATGTTAATCGATTAACAGGCCAGTTAATCGATTAAAATAGAGAGTTTTTGGGTTTTGTTGATTTTGGCTCTGTAATAATCGATTAATACTTCATTTAATCGATTATTTCAGTCAGATTTTGATTTTCAACTTCAAATTAAACCTATTTTTGAAAACCCTAATCCCAATACTCTCTAGTTCCGAAAATCCCAATTCCCAAACCCTAATTTCTCTAGTTAAGGTTCTCTAAGGCTCTCAGAAAATTGAACAACCTTTTTCAAACAAAAGTTAAGTGCTGTGAGTGTCAGAGAACTGTTTGTTGGAGGAAAAAGGGGCTTTTGGAACCTGGTGTGGGCTAGAAGCGATAAGAATCACTAAGTGGAGTTCTTAGTGGATTGTGTGTTGTGCCGTCTCTGGGGAAAGTTGTTCTTCATCTCTTGTGGGTTTCAAGAGAGGTGTTTTCTTTACTTTGTATTTTCAATTGTTATCTGTTTGTAACAACTTTGATTATAGTGACAACGTTAATCCTCTGTTTGAGTGATTAGCAACTGGACGTAGGGTCTTTTGATCCGAACCAGTATAAATCTCCTGTGTAAGACTCTATCTCTATCTTATTTACGTTTACATAACTTTTTAATCGGTAAAATTTGGGAAAAAATTTTAAAACCTAATTTTTGTTAAGAAACCAATTCACCCCCCCTCTTGGTTTTTGTCCATCCACGCGAACATTCCGCTGCACGATTCTAACAAGTGGTATCAGAGCTTGCTTTGATAGTCATTCAAACTTTTCGAAAATGGCCGGACAAAATCAAACTTTTGCCGAAGGTGCGTTTATCAACAGACCCCTACTTTTTGCGGGTCAAAATTGTCCTTTTTGGAAAGTAAGAATGCAAATCTTTTTAGAGTCTGTTGATAGAGGCGTTTGGGACGCTATTTTAAACGGTCCTTATATTCCTAAAGTTACTGAGAACGGTGTTGACGTTCCTAAACCTTTTTCTAGATGGACAACAGAGGAAAATAGAAAAGCATAATTTGACGTTAGGGCTAGAAATATTATTTCATCTGCTTTAACCCTTGATGAGTTTTTACAGGATCTCTGTTTGTAAAAGTGCTCAGGAAGTATGGGAAATGCTAAGAGTGACCCACGAAGGTACCGGTGACGTTAAGAGAGCACGGAAAAATTCCCTAATCCAAGAATATGAGATGTTCTGGATGCAACAAGGCGAAATGATATTTGACGTTCAAAAGTGTTTCACTCATATTGTGAACCATCTCACCGGATTAGGTAAAATCTTTGACGTTGATGAATTGAATGTTAAAATTTTAAAATCTTTGGATAGGAAATGGCAACCTAAGGTGACGGCCATCTCGGAGTCACAAAACCTTGCCACAATGTCTATGGCGGCGCTCTTTGGAAAGCTAAGAGAGCATGAGCTTGAGCTTGGAAGGCTAAACGATGAAGAAGAACAATATCAAAAGAAGAACTTAGCCTTCAAAACTGAAATTTCTAAAGGTAAAAATAAAAAGGAAGAAGAAGATTCGGAGAATGAAGAAGAAGAATTGAGTCTTATGATAAAAACATTCACCAAATTCATGAAAGCTAAGGAATGCATCCATTCAAAGGTAAGGGAAAGGTAAGAGAAAGTACTTTCGTTAATATAAAATGTTATGGTTGTGGTGAAACAGGACATATGAAGACCGAATGTCCAAACAAGAAAAACGAAGAAATCAAAGGAAAAAAGTTCTTCAAGAAGAAAGCCTATATTGCTTGGGACAACAGTGATTCAAGTTCGGAATCAAGTGACTCGGAAGTTGAAGCCAATATTTGCTTAATGGCAAATGACAACATATCTTCCGACTTTGAGGTAAGTGATTCCGACTCATCCTCAAGTGATGATGAAAATAACTATGATAAACTGCAAAATTCATATAATGAATTGTTTAGTGCCTTTAAGGACTTGAAAAATGAATATAAAGTTGTGAAAAAGAGTTTAAGTAGATCCGAAAAGGAAGTTA